GAAACCAAAGGTGTACTGGTAATTATCTGCCTTGAGTCTTAGCGAGAGAGGCAGACTACCCATGAGGTAAATAAATACATAGAGCACAGCAGGAAAAGTAGGTGAGGTTAGCTTGGTTTCCTTTGGTTTTTTCCGATGCTGAAAATGAGCCTGTGCCCTTTGGACTAAATGTTTCCATGCCAGTTTGGTGTAGTGGTTAGGAGCGTGGACTCTAAACTGGGAGAACCGGGTTTGATTCCCCACTCCTCCACGTGCAGCTGCTGGTGTGACCTTGGGTCAGTCACAAGTTTTCTCAGAGCTGTTCTCTCATGCGCAGTCCTTGAAAGAGCTCTCTCAGCCCCACCTACCTCACAGGGTGTCTGTTGTGGGGAAGGGAAGGGAGATTATAAACCGCTCTGAGACTCCTTCAGGTAGTGACTTGGTGGGGTAGAAATCCAATGTCTTCTTCTTCAGTAGGCAGTTAATTGTGGCAGAGTGCCAGCCCAAGGGTTTTTCTCTGCAAATTCAACTTCCTAAAACCATTTCAGAATGTCGGAAGCTACTAGTTCTCAGCACCCTTGGATAGTGTGATTGAGGCAGGTTAGGCTGAGAGGGTGTGACTGGCCCAAATTCACCCAGCAAGCTTCCATGGCAGAGTGAGGATTCGAACCCACGTTTCCCAGGTCCGAGTCCAACACTTTAACCACTACACCGTGATGCATTCAAATGACAGTCCGTAACCGGCAGAGGAATTTTTTTAGGCTTACAAATCTAGATGTTTATCCCTGGGTCAGCTATGACACGTCTCAGTCTCGTAGCCATAATTCCAAGAGTTTCTTCCTTCTCTCTCCCACTTGATTTCCTCCCTTCCCTTCCCTTTGAGTCTAGTTTAAAGCTGACCATGGTTGATAATACTGGAAAGGAAAGGGAGGGGTAATTTAAGTAGGAGGAGGGAAAAGAAGCGTGCAAGTCTGGGGGAGCGGGGAGTTATGTTTACCCAGAATCCCGGAGTAGTTTTCTATGCACGGCCACATCACATGCCCCTGCTGCCTTAGATCTTAACCAGCAATCTGTTTTTCTTTAGAATTTCCTGGCTCTCTGTGCTAGTAATTACTACACTGGCTGTCTATTCCATCGGAATATCAAAGGCTTTATGGTGCAGACCGGAGATCCAGCAGGTAAAGCATTTGGTTAAATATTATGAAATCACTCCCTTTGGAACAGTGGCTTTGAGTCACGTAGCAAACTGTGATTATTGGAACAAAGTTTGAGGCCAGTGGCACCTTTAAGGCCAACAAAGTTTTATTCAAAATATAAGCTTCCGTGTGCACCCACACTTTTCCAGGTACAATGAAATGGAAATGACCAGTCCATACATATAGGTAGAGGGTGAGGAGTAAATTAGCATACAGCAAAATGAAGATATTTAACAGATTCAAGGACCAAACAGGAATAGCAGGCTTCGTTTATATGGTTACCATCTGTTTGGGTTTAATTCCAAGGGAAAACGTAGTGAAGGAAATAAATATGTCAAAATTGGAGATTGATGGGCAGATGTATCCTTAGTTGTGGAACGCTGAGAGTAATTAACTGAGACCCTGGCATTACACTCCGTCCGTCTCCTCTCAAACATGGAGGTGACCTTACATCATCATCTTTGAAGTGCGGCAATCCGCTGTGTAGTGTTATTTCCCCTGTCCCCAGAGCAGAGAAATGCATTCGAATCTGCCATTCCAAATCACATTACATTTGACTATTGGAAGCAGCGGCATGATTTTTTTAACTGGCTTTGCAAATTTTACAAATGTAGTTGTGAATGATGACTTTTACATGGTAAATTCCCCCCCACACACACACACACTTTATGTTCTGAGTTCCCTCTCCCCCCCGCCCAGAAAAGGGGCTGGTAGTCCGGCCTTGGGATCAATAATATTATAGGAAAATCGCCATCTTGGATCTTTTATCTACACTGGAATTTTTATTAAATTATATATAAATTTTAATGTTTTGTATTTTTAGGACATTATGTCGTATACATTGCCCAGAGTCCGGCATAAGCTGGGATGGGGCAAATAATAATAATAATAATAGTAAGAATAAGAATAAATGTCAGTCAGGCAAATCAGCACGACCTCTGGTATTGCTTAGGCTTCCAAAACATCATGGATACTTGACAATCATAGCAGTAATGCCTGGCATTGACATTGTTGTACATATTAGATTCCATGTCAAAAATGAAGTCAAATGAGGAGGAAGATCTATGTTTTATTTCAATTAACAGAAAAACAATTGGACCAAATAGTCCATCCAAATTTGACTACTTTCTTCTCAGCATATTCAGGAAATATACGATATTTTATACATGGACTGACATCATCAAGAAAACAATATTCAAACAGCATAATTGGTTACAAAAGACAGTGGTAATTTGAGTAATAATCCTCTGATTGGCCAGATATAAAGAAACATATATCTACGTCAAATTTAAGTGTTTACTTAACCTAATCTAAATGATAATGGGCAAGGAATCTTCATACAAGACTAAAATCTTATCTGACCCAGACATTGCAAGGTTTTGCTCCAAGAACGACAGAATAATGAACTTTGTACCTATTAGGTTGTCTGCTAACAATATCAGACCTATAAGAGGAAAGCCTTCTATATAACAGGCCTTTCTAACATCCTAATAAAATATTACTTAAAGAATAAATCTATAAAAACCAGAGAAATATGAATATGAACAATCAAGAAGAAAAAAACCTATATATAAAAATCTTTATATTCCCATTCGTACTACAACATAGAGCTCAAGAGCCTTCAATCGGCTTTCCACGTGTTTCCTTGGTAACCCTTAGAGCTGCATTACCTCCATGCTGAGGACAGGGCGTTGAGACTGAGGGATGATGGAGGGAAAGCGCCATCAAGTCTCAGCCAACTTATGGTGATCCCTTCATGGGGTTTTCGAGGCAAGAGACGTCCAGAGGCGGTTTGCCATTACCCGCCTCTGCGTAGCAACCCTGGACTTCCTTGGTGGTCTCCCATCTGAGTACGGACCAGGGCCGACCCTGCTTAGCTTCTGAGATCTGACGAGATCGGGCTAGCCCGGATCAGATCAGTGACCGAGGGGTTGGTTTCTGTAAGGGCTCCTTGGCTGCCCTCTGGCATCTCATGAAGACCACATTGTGTGTTCGCCTGGCTGGTTCCAGTGCTGACGCAAACACCGCCTTCCTCACGGAAGGAGAAAAGCAGCTGATAAATGTTTTAAATAAACAACTGAAGTGCAGTCCTCACGAGGGAGTCTTTTCTGAACAGCACAAGATACGTTGTTTTATGAAATTCTGCAAATCACACACATGGGTGGGAGAAGACGGCTCTGTTTCTCGAATTCTCTTCAACTGACTGAAGACTTGAGGGCATTTCTATGCTGGGCACGGGTGGGCACGACTGGTCACCAGGTTCGTGGAATTCTGCTCATCTCCCTGCCGTTCACCCGCAGGCTCTGGGAAAGGAGGAAACAGCATTTGGGGCAGGAAATTTGAAGACGAATTCAGTGAATATTTAAAGGTACGTTTTGCTTTTTCTCGTGCTGTTTCTTATTGTCGGCTACTCGTAGAATAAATGACGCTGACTGTAAAGAAACGGGGTAGCTAATTATGAGGGGGGGTCGCTCTCCTCTGCTAAAAGGGGCAAAGACGTGCTTAAGTTGGTGGGCCTAGTAGCATCTGTCTGGGTCCACCTGTTAGAGGTGCTCAAGGGAGAAGCCATCTTAGAGAAAAATTCCAGCTAAAGCGGTCATCACCATACTTTAGCTGCAAGAACCAGTGTTGCTGCCATTAGGAATGAGTAAGTAGACAGCTATTTTAGGAGCCTTGGGACTACACTGCTTTGTTTTCAAGAACGTTTCTTGAATTTCTTCAATAATGCTTTTTTGCTTTGTTTCGTATGACTTACTGGGGAGTGACCAACCCAGGCCTCAGTTTGGCCACGTTGCTGCACCAAGGTGGGGGGTCAGCGTCGACAGAGGCCTGCCCAGCCAGTAGTATTGCCCCCCCCCCCAGCCAGACCTCTTGCCTTCCCTTAGCCAGATGTGAATGCCAGGAAAAGAGGGAAACCTGGAATGTGGGACTGAGGGTGTCCTGCAGGTTCCTGGCACTGCTGAAAAGAACACTAGCTCTTGTCTCCCGCCTTGATTGCTTGATTGTTCAGGGAGGCAGCAGACACCAGTCACTGTGTGTGTGCCTTTCTCATGCAGTGGGGAAGCTGAGCGCAAGGAAGATTAGTCGTTTCTGATCTTTGACCAGGGTTGGGAACCCACTCTGCTAATGTGGGAAAGATAACTGCTGTGCTGTGAATGGAGCTGGTATGTTGGTGTGGCTCAGAGAGGGGAGGCCCAAGTCGGCATGAAAGCTCAGGGCCCGGGGGTCCCCAACGTTTCTGAGCCCGCAGGCTCAGAATTCTGACACCATGTGGAGGGCTCAGCCACAAAATGGCTGCTGCAGGAGGTGGAGCCAACCACAAAATGGCTGCCACGATTTATTTATTTATTTTCCATATTTGTATCCCGCCCATCCCATGAGCGGGCTCAGGGCGGGTCACATAATCCTAAATAATACCACCAGCCGGCTTACCATCAGTCACACGGTGGAAAACCTTGTGCTGCGAAGGCTGATCAGATATCCAGTGGCCATTCAGAAGCCCTGCTAGGAAAAGCCCTAGCCCCACCCACATTCTAAAAGCCTCGGCAGGCACCATGTTGGGGACCCCTGGCGTAGGCAAACAGGGATATGCAGGGAAGTGGAGAGAGAGTGTTGTGTAGGAGCTAGGACTGAGGAGATCTGCGTTCAAATCCTCACTAGTGCATTAAGCTCATTGGGTGATCTTTGGACATGCTTGCTCAGCCTAACCTACCTCACAGGGTTGTTGTGAGGATAAATGCAGGAGGGAGAGAACTATATATACCACCCTGGGGATAATAATTTGAATGGTTGAAACCCGAAGCACAGTTACAGGCAAGGATGGAATGGAGGAACAGAAGAAGACGAGGAGAAGGAGGAGGAGGAGATTGGATTTATACCCTGCCCTTCACTACCTGAAGGAGTCTCAGAGCGGCTTACAATCTCCTTTCCCTTCCCCTCCCCACAACAGACACCCTGGGAAGGAGGTGGGGCTGAGGGAGCTCGGAGAGAAGTGCTCATGAGAGAACAGCTCTGAAAGAACTTGTGACTGACCCAAGGTCAGACCAGCAGCTGCATGTGGAAGAGTGGGGAATCAAACCTCCCAGATCAGAGTCCACGCTCCTAAGCACTATACCAAACTGGCTCTCTACACCATACTGGCAGTGCAGGAGAGCAAACTGGCAGTGATAGAAGGGAATGGTTATCTTCCGCAAACTCCTAGGGGGTGCCCAGCTCCCAAGTTGTCAGCCGTGCCGTTTAGCTATTCAGCTCAGTGACTCTGCTCACTGCAGCGATGCTTAGTTTCTTAACAGCGAGCAACCTTCAAGAACAATCTTTCAGCAGGGCCTGGGATAATTGCTTTTTCTCTGGCCATAAGTAACAGCTTCCGCTCCTGATGTTTCCACGTCTTGGAATTTTTATTGGGCTGACATACTGAGGAGTCATCCTAAAGGGTGCCGACAGGCACAGGTTACGCAACACTTCCTGTGATTTCATTATGGGGTTAAAGTATTTTACCAGTTTGTTAGATGAATGTGGTGGTTTAGCAGCCAGGAAACCTGCAAATTGCAACGCGGGGATTAGACTCGGGAGCAATGCTCCCTCTAAGCTGTGGAATCCTGTGAGCAAAAATCCTACTTTGTGAGCTACTGTCATTAAAGGTGTGAGCGAGCGATTTGGCTAGTGTATAAATCAGTTTGCTCTGGGGCCACCCTTCCTGAGCTCAGACAAAAATGTGTGAGCTAGAGGGGTAAAAAACTGAGCTAACTCACACTAACTCAGCTTAAAGCGAACACTGCTTGGGAGTGCTGTTCTAAAGGGGTTGGGGGATAGCAAAGCACTCGGTTGCTAGTGGGGTGCAGGAATTCCCATAGAGATAACAGGGCTCCTTTCTCTAGATCTGAAATTTTTGAGGTTCGTCTGTTTTTCTATATCAAGAAGAAATGTTTTGAATGTGGACATTGGTAACAGCAGCAGAGTGACATTTTAAAAGGTGTAACACTTTCACATTAAGAACAGAACTCTTTTAAGCTCATAGACAGGGATTTAACAGCAAATGGACATGTAACATGATTTAACAAGGTCTTAAGTTATGCAACGGGGAAAAACTAAATAACAAGTTAAGGTTATAAGGTCAACAGTCGTAAAGCAATAAATATGTCAAAATAGCAGATAAATGTCTAAAGGTGTTTTTTCTAATTGTGGTTAGGATGAGCTATGGAGCAGAGCCATATAAAGGTTTTTGGAGGTATATGATGTGTTTTGGATTCCCCACATAAAGGGCCCCAGGAAAGCTCAAAGATCTATAACATATGGAGGTGTTCCATTGGTGTAAGAGTTGTGCTTGTCAGCTTAGTATGAACAGAGCCACACAACTTCCCATACTGGAATACGACTATGGCAGGAGTCCCCATCCTGTGGGCACCTTTGGAATTCTGATAAAGGGTGGTGGCAGAATCTCAAAATGGCTGCCGCAAGAGGCGGAGCCGACCATAAAATGTCAGGGATCAAGGGTATATACAAGTCTAATGGTAGCTCTTCAACATTTCAAGCAGACTCTCTCTTTAACAGGATGCCTTTTAATTTGCACAGCCAATTAGAAGCCCCGTGGGGAAAAGCCCCGCCTAGCCCCACCCACTTTCCAAAAGCACTTGATGAGCGCCAGGAAAGACGTTGGGAGCCACCATGGGGCCCACAGGCTCCTTGTTGGGGACCCCTGGATTATGGGATGTAGAAGAATCGGCCGCCTTTTGCAAACAGTGGGAACGAATCTCGAAAACCCGGGGATGCAGCTGGGCCACGTAAACCCTTTATGCAAGTTGTGATCACCCCCTCGATTTTTATACTTCTCTCTTAGCACAGTGTCCGCGGAGTCGTTTCTATGGCAAACAACGGCCCCAACACAAACGGATCTCAGTTCTTCATCACTTACGGCAAGCAGCCGCATCTGGACATGAAATACACCGTGTTTGGGAAGTAAGTAAGACTTCATCCACCCCAGTGATGTGAACAGCAGGGAGTTAGCTGGCCCATCTAAATGGTGGTCATTTTAAGAGGGGGGAGCAAAGCGTGGTGGAGCTTTTAGGGGCGTTTGAGGGATCTGAACTGTGATTCTGCAAACTCTCGAGGTGATAGTAAGGTAACATAAAGCCAAGTGATCTATTAGGAAATAGTCAAACGTGTTTCACTTTTAATTTTTTGCTGAACAATGCTGCAAAAATGCACATTGACAAAGCAGAGTAAAGAAAAACTGGAAGGGTGATGGAAATAAAAAACAAACATCCTGTAATGGGACAGAAAGATTTATTTCCTGGATTCGTTTAGAGCTTTATTCCCAATCAAACGAGTGTAGCAGATTGTCTTTTTTTCAATTGAACTGGCTAACAACAGCCTTGGACCCACAAATGGAATTTTGACTCTTAAGTTCAGCTCCACTCTCTGTTCGAGTCCTTGATCCTAAAGAGATAACCATCTTGCATTCGAGTGATGTGTCGCTATTGGATCCATCCGTATTCTGTATTTCCTTTGTGGATTCTGATCTGTCCTTTGTGAATGGCTCCTTTAAATGTTCTAGGTAGCTGTGCTTTTCTGCAGGGAAAACCTAAAAGCAACATTTGTGTAATACCTTTGAACATTTTTGACATTTGTCTCCTCCCCCAGGCTCAGTATGTGGTACCCAAAAAAGGGGATGTGAAGAGGCATGTTGATTCAGGTGGAAAACTACATTCTGTTGGCAGCTAAACCAATAACATAACCTGTATTCCACCTTAAGGCTCTGGAAACTGTAGGTGCAAGGGCTGTTCCATCATACCAATGGGTGCAATCCTGCAGGGTCTTCATAAGCACACAGAGCTGTGGGACTGTCGCATATAATTCAGTAGAGATCTTTGTTTGGCTGAATGGCCTGACCATTACAGGGTAGTCACTTGTGTGCCCTCTCTACAAGGTGGTTGTAAGCAGGTTCTTGTTCAATTCAAACAATGGTTCAGGCTGAGGCCTAGAAAAGATGGAAGTTTCTTTCTCTGGAACAATGCTCAAGCTACTTGTACCTTCAAAGACTCAGATAAGGGAGGTGGGAGGTCCCAAATTCAATCCCCCCCCCCCGGGCATTCCCAGTTAACAAGTCTGGCAGTAGGTGATGTGAAAGACCCTCTGCCTGAGACTGTGGAGAGCCACTGCCAGTGTGAGTAGACAATACTGGAAACCTTGTCTTGGACCTTGGAACCCTATTTAGAGATCTTTATATTCTATAGATGTCCCACTAGGAGGAATGTTTTAAGCAGAAGATGACGCTCAGCAACTGTGTACTTTTGTCATCCCCAGAGTAATTGATGGTCTGGATACACTGGATGAGCTGGAAAAACTGCCTGTGAATGAAAAGACTTTCCGGCCTCTTAGTGACGTTCACATCAAAGACATTACAATTCACGCGAACCCCTTTGCTCAGTAGCAGGAAAGGGCCCTGACAGATTCCAGATCAGCCGCTTGGAATTAACTGCCAGTGACTTCTGAAGAGTTGTTTGTGCATGCACTCTTGGAATCGAGGGCTTGCCAAAGCTTTTTCTTCCGACTTTTCTAATCTTGGTATTTCAGCGGATGGAGAGAAGACGCATCTCGATGCATGAAGTCCTATGTGTTTGACAAAGCTGGGGGAAAACAACACATGGGGGATTTTTATATATAAAATATGAAGCTACCTTTTCCTGTTCGAAGTTAGCTAGTTCAAACATGATTTATTTTGAAATTCCTCGTGTGCCTCTTCCTTTCACTTAGGGCAGCTGTTAACCAGAACATTGACACAGAGATCAGCTCTACCGGCATAAAATAATGTATACGATTCTGCAGCCTTCACAACTGGATTGGCTTGTCTGTTTTCCTTGTGCCGACGTGTTTGTTTTGTTAGTAATCCCAGCTGACTGCGTTAGATTTTCTGCCTCTGGTCCACTCAAATTAGGACTTAATGCCTACTTGCATTAAGTGGTGCCCATTTGGCATAATTAAATAATGCCCTCAAAGCAGTCTTTGATTGATTCAGTGACCTATCGGTGGGCCCTACTTTTATTTTTTTTCCTTTTGCCTCTATAGATGCATCTTTTTTTTTCTTTTCAAAATCAAATTTAATTCTACAGAAAGGACAGCAACCAGTGTAACTGCTGTCTTGAGCAGCTTAGATTGATGTATGACTTGCAAAGTGAACCTCACTTGCTGAGAGCCAGTTTGGTGTAGTGGGTAAGTGCGCGGACTCTAATCTGGGAGAACCGGGTTTAATTCCCCACTCCTCCACTTCCAGCTGCTGGGTGACCTTGGGCAAGCCACAGTTCTGTCAGAGCTGTTCTCTCAAGGACAGTTCTGGACAGAGCTCTCTCAGCCCCACCCACCTCACAGGGTGTCTGTTGTGGGGAGGGGAAGGAGTGTGTAAGTCTCGATGAGACTCCTTTGGGTAGTGAAGGGCAGGGTATAAATCCAATCTCTTCTTCTTCTTTTTCAAAGTATGAGGCTTTAACTTCCATGCAACATGGAACATGTGTCAATAAATAAAATGTATGCCCATGTGGTGTTCTTGGGATCAAGTTAATTTCTGTTTTAACTTCCAGTATTCTCTGTTCCCGACAACCTCCCTCTCTTATCAACAGCACCAGTTTGTCAGTGAATTTAAAGTGTGGTGCAGGGGTGAAGAGCGG